TACAATGTACCTTGATGTGAAAATCCTTATCCACCAAAATGTTTTCTGGCTTGATGTCCTTGTGTAGAACACGTTTTTCTGTGAGGTACACCATCCCTTCCAGAATCTCTAAGATGATTCTTCCCTTCACAGATACTGGCACATTGACCTAAAACGAAGGGGGGAAAAAGTATATTATTCCTATAATTTACATTTAAAATATAGTAATTTCAATTTTGGATTAAACTACTAGATCTATATGTATTCATTTTAATAATTTCCTTTTCCAGTGTGACTGTATTCTGAACCTGCTGACCGTTTCTAGCATGACCAACAGGTTGCCTCTGGGGATGAGTTCCATGACTAGAGAGCAGTCTCTGTCCTCCATGATCACGCCCAGCAGCTTGACCACTCGCTCATGGTTCAGGCTCGCCATGATGCTCCCCTCCTCCAGCAGTGACCTTTTACTGTCCCTGAAAAGTACAGTTAATACAGTGAAAGGCTGAAATTGACGGCGGACAAGTGAAAAAACGAGGTTGAATCTTATTGCAGGCCTTTTGGAAGGATGTAGGGACGCTCGGATGTGATATGCCAGATGGGTGTTAGTGTGGATATTAAAAATACGACGGAGACTGAAATGAGGGATGAGTGTTACATACAGTTTTTAATTCTGTGTTTCTGTTATCGTGTCCAGTTATACAGAACAGGTGGATCACCAGCTCTGTCGCCGCACAAATTCCTTTATTAGTCATTAGTCTGACTCATCGAATGTAGACTGCTTGTATAAGCTCGTCACTGAATGCGCATTTCAAATGATTTTTTCCTCCCCTTCCACTATCTATGTGTAACGGTCGCTGTTTAAATACATCCAGGTGCATCCAGACCATGATGTGCTGCAGAATGTTCTGCAACACCACAAAGTCATGCACATATTTAAAATTAAGGGGGGGAAAAAGAGCACTTGTTTTTAAGCAGTGCTCAGTACTGATTAACCCTGAGCTGATTTAAAATATTTACTGAGAAAAATTTTAACCAGCACTTCCCTCACAGGACCTTATTAGGAAAAAAAGTCATAAATAGATAAGTCGACTGAGAGAGAATTCATCTTGCGTTAACTTTGATAATCACTATTGTTACTTAGATCATTATAATTACGTAAATTACCTTGACACATGTTGGAAACGCAGCTCTTAACAAGCCTTTTTCACAATTGCTTTTGACATTTTAACATTAATTGATATCATAAAAAGAATCTTTAGCTGCACTCCTATATATCATATTTACAAAGGAGCCTGCTACATGGCACTGAAAGCTCCCAGCTAAGTCTCGTCTGAAGACTTTTCCCAAAGCTGCCAGGGGAGACGACCCCCTTGATATGGATAATGTCATGTTTTCATGCTTATGTTACCAGTGACTGGTCAACAGTTGAAACCAGATGTTTACATATACCTGATAAAAGAGATGTATATATCCTTTTTTTGCTCACTGTCTGACATTAAATGAGACTAAATTTTTCCTGTTTTAGGTCAGTTAGGATTACCAACATTGTTTCTATTTGTTAAACGCCAGAATAATGAGAGAGAGAATTTTTTTTCATTTTTTTAAATTTTTTTTAATTACTTTCTTCAAAGTCAGAAGTTTACATCCACTAAGACGACTATGTCTTCAAACTATTTGGGAAAGCCCAGATGATGATTCATTGGTTAACTGGAGGCACACCTGTGGATGTATTTTAAGTCACACCTCAAACACACTGCTTCCTTTTGTGACAACATGGAAAATCTAAAGAAACCAGCCAAGATATCAATAATATGTCCTGACATGTCCTGTGGTCTGATGGAACTAAACCTGAACTGTTTGGCCTTAATGACCATCGGTACATCTGGAGGAAAAAGGAGGAAGCTTGAAGCCTGAGAACACCATCCCAGCTGTGGAGCACGGGGGTGGCAGCATCATGCTGTGGAGGGACTGGTGACCTTCACACAATAGATGGCATCATGAGGAAAGATCATGATGTGGAGATACTGAAGCAGCATCTCCAGACATCAGCAGGAAGTTAAAGCTTGGACACTAATGGGTCTTCAGATGGACAATGACCCTCAGCATAGACTAGCTACAGAGAGGCTTCAGGACAACAGAGTCAGTGTTGTGGAGTGGCCATCACAAAGCCCTGATCTCCATCCTGGAGAACATCAGTGGAGCAAGGAGACCAACAAACCTGACCCAGTTCCACCAGTTCTGTCAGGAGGAATGGGCCAGAACCCATCCAACTATTGTGAGAAGCTTGTGGAAGGAAACCCAGAACGTTTGACCCAAGTCATAGAGTTTGAAGGCAAAGAAAGTAGTAAAAAAAAATCTCTCTCTCTCATTATTCTGGCATTTAGCAAACAGAAATAATGTTGGTGATCCGAACTGACCCAAAACAGGCAAAGTTTAGTCTGATTTAATGTCAGACAGTGAGAAAAAAAAGGTTTCATGTCTTTTTATGCAGTGTATGTAGACTTCTGGTGAATCCCCACATTTATTCTAACAAAGTCTTTTGCAGGATGCTTTTATAATATAGTTCCCTGATACAGTATGTGAAATCAGGTGGTGGGGCTGCAACAAAAACATGAATGGAGATTTTTAATAAGACAGCTGTTGATAAATTGGATATGAAAAACTGATTTTGCCTGCATGCATCCGCATTTCAGATGAATCCACTTCTCATTTATCCCTCATTTAAAGGAAGTGTTTCAAATAGAAACCAGTGCATGCTGTATTCCAGCACACACTGCCACAGTGACGACAACAAGTCAGGCTGGCAAACACAGACTGTTTACCAACGTCAGCATGTGTCTCTACATATCATACACACAACAATGTGAGTGTATTGTCTGAGTGGAGCTGCTCCATACACAGTTGTTCTGGACACATGATTCAAGTTATCACCAGGCTGAGGGGGGAATACCCAGACCCTTCATACACTCACACACACATACGCAGATAACTTACTCGCTGCGAAGAGGGCCTGTGTACATAGTCTTCAACACCACATGACCCAGGGTTACGTGGTAGCACAGGTAAACCTCTCCAAAGCCTCCGTAGTCCAGAGGCTCCTTAACGATGAGATCCGCCGACCTCATATGAAGCGAGGACTGAGGCGCGGTGGCCATCCCTGGGAACAAGTCACGATAAAACCCCACAGCTCACACAGACGCACGATTATGTCTTTTAAGAACCCGTTTAAGATAATCAAAAGAGACTAAATGAATGAGCGGAGCGGCGAATTAGCCATCCGTGACGCTCACAACATTGACAGGAGCGTTAAGCTAGCGCCTCACTGTTCTCAAAAGTTTAGTCAACAAAATCAAAGTTAGCTTCCCGCGAGCAAACTTATCAACCGTCGAATAACATTAACGACCGCATTCAGTCCCGATATCAAACAAAACCGGAGTTAAATGGTTACCCAAAAGTGCCGAAAATCCACTTGGAGCACTTTATTAGCGTTTCCGGGATTTCCTCGATGTCCTCGCTCAAAAGCGAAACCCGAAAGAACTACAAAAAACTACAAACAGCCGGAAAAGTCGATAACAGAAACAAAAACATCAGGACGGCTAATAGATTCCCGATTTGCTTTTCCAAAAACGTCTAAAAAAATTTTTTTTAAATTAAAAAAAAAACACAGGATAGAATTTAAAAGTTTTTATTCATCCGCTAAGCTCTTTCTTAGTTCTTTTTAAATGAAGTTTTTGAGAACTCCTCTGAAACATCTCAGCGTGTAGCGTCGTTGCCACCTACTGGTGAAACCGATCATTGCGGCACGAAGCAGAGCTGCATCCATTTGCATCTGTCACACTGACATTGTTCTAGCTTTCTTTTTCTGTAACTAAAAAGCATTTGTGAGAGCTTTTACAGAATCTAAAAAAAAAAGAGGACGCAAACTGTGAAGACAACAATCCAGTTTCGTACAATTTAAACAGTGCAGCTAAACAGAGCCTAAAGAAAAACAAAGGAGAAAAAAAAACTACAAGTTCATTGATAAAACAAGCATTTATGTGAAACTGGAGCGGGAAACCACCTGAGTTGTAGCCTCCGACTGTGCGGGCGATGTCAGATATGTAAGGCCTAGATTTTGGGCAACCTAAATGTGTGAACGCCCACACTATAAATTCCACCTATCACACACTAAAGCCACAACAAAGCAGTATCATAATTTACCTGTCCTGTGTTGTCACCATTTACTGGTTTACACCTTGTGTTGTTTGTTCTGTTCACAGTTACTGCTGATAATCTTCCAGTTATTTAGAGAACTTTCCGGGCTTCTGTGAGAGAGTTAACGCGTAACTGAGCACAACTGAACAAAACAAACCGGTGAACGTCATTACAAACTACGTTCCATCCACAGTTCTACTTATTTTGAGTAATATTCAAGATCATGGGGTTTACAAATGATTGTATTGTATTCAAAACAGCATGTTGACCATCTCTATACCCTGAGCTCACTTTATTACTACCAGCATGAATTACTTTAGATAATCAGTTGACACGAAACGAAAACCACAATTTGAAATATCAAGCCTGAAAAGTGACACAGTAAGATTGACGTAGGAGGCTGATGCTGGCTGCTGTCACTTCCCATACATGCCGCAGACACCTCCTCTCATTCAAGCTGTAGTCTGGCGGTTGCTTGCTGGCCCACATAGAACAACAACAGATCACCAGGAAGCTAAACCAACTGGTGCCTGCGGTGTACATGTGCTGTCGATGTGGGGCAGTGGGTAGCAGCACGTCCTGTTGATGTTATCGTGATATTAACCAGTACAGACTGCTGGATGCCGTCGTCTCTCTGCAGTAGTAACGCTGCTGATTTTCACGCTTGGGATTTGCTTCTCAAAGACCCTGCTTTGGCACCGGTTCTCTGCTCAGGTTGTTTCCTGCCAGCAGAGATGCTGGAGGAAGCAAGGTGGTTCTATCCGGTGATGGTGCACTGCAGGAGGGTGGTCTGTGCAACCTTTGCATCCAAGCGGGTGAAAGTACAAGCTAGTAGTGTAGGAATATATAGAACTGGAACTCTCACAGGATGCATGGTTCAATGGTTTCTTTTGAGCACATCCTCTCACTCTTTTCAATGTGCCTTCAAAGTTTCTCAATGGAGAGTGGTGTCCATGTGGTCGTTTTTATTAGTGGCACTGTTTTTCCTCCCTGTGGTTTAAAAGCTTCTCAATGTGCCTTTCTGGTACTGACACATTTGTTTCTGATCTGTCGTTCAGGGAAGGGTGGTGTCTGGATAAACTTTTCCAAAGATGGTGTCACAAAAAGATGTTTTGATGGTGGAGAGGGTGAAGCTTTGCGTGGCCGTTCCTCCCTAACCCTACCAATGTCAACATCTGCATCCGAGGACATCAGGATGTTGGATGTGCTGTTCTTGGTCCTTCTTTCATTGGGTCTCATGTATAAGTGCAGAAATTTGAGGCAAACAAAGCGTTTTAGGTTAGATTTTATCCTCTGGTAGTTTTAAAATTTGAGGTAAATGTGGTCAACTGAGATGTCTGAAGGAAAAACCAACAGACTTTTCTTCCTCTGATTAATTCATTCAAACGTTGGACTTAATTGTCATTCAGAGGCGCCTTCAATATGGAATGCCATTCACTGGTCACCCCTGTGGCCACCCCAGATCTGATAGATCAATCACTGAAACTTTGATATCCAAGTTGCAGTAAATACAACTTCACTGTCAGTTTTATTTCTTCCTATTTGACAAATTGTGCCATTTCCCAGAATGGATATTTGTGAATGCATGCAGCACGTGACCTCTCTAATCTTTATAGTAACTACTAAAATATGACAACAGGTCACAGAGTAACAATGGAAACACATATTACTGAAATTATCATCACACATGGCTGGAATTTTAATACTGACATAATAAATAAAAACAATGTTTTGCCATTGATAAAACTTTTCCTTCTTTTTCTCTTGAGCAGTTGTCACCAAAATGGAAACTGCACATCAGGTAAATATGAAATTAACTGTAAAATAAGAAATCAAGGTATATTAATATATTTCTAAACTCTCTCATTGACATAAATTTCAACAGCCCTCTATAATACAACAGCATAGTAGGATTAGAAAATAAGCCTCTAGAAATGTTTTTTCTTTCCAAAATTTGAAAAATTAATAGAAGTCCCACTTTTTCTTATTTTTTTGAATCTCTTTTATTCATTTTCACAGCACATTCAAGTGGAAAAATCCCATGTTTTTCCCTCTTATCTGACATCGGCCTTTGAATCCTGCATATTTATTCCCTCTGCGAGACACTCTGTTATATTTAAATAATTGTGGGTTAAGTATTTTGCTGTCCTGAGGGGCGAGGTATTAATAATCCATCCACAAATACGGGGTTGGTTTTTAGACCACCGCTCTGTCAGCAAAGCCTGCAAACTACAAATCCCAGAATTCAACACGGCGCAGCGTTTGGCAGCAGTCCTCTGCTCGCTCGGACACGGAGCTGCTGCTTTTCTCTCTCTCCCCCCCTCCAACAGTGGCTTTGGAAAGCTATCGAGACTTTAGATAATCACTTCTACACAAGCGGGACACACAGAGGGGCATTTCTTCTCAGAGGGATTTTCCAGACGGGCTCTTTTTCAGGATGGGGAATGGCATCAACAAGGTACGTTTTCCATCTGCTCCATGCGCCTCAGGTTGGAGTTTGTCATGAGTGGAGCTCAGTGCTGGAAGGATTGTGCTCAATTTTGTTTGCAGCATTAAAGTTAGTGTCTAATGATTGGTTTTTTTTTTGTTTTTAAAAAATATAGGCCTACCATTAAAAATATTCCATATCATTTCCAACTAAGTGGTTTAACTTAAAACACTTCATGTAGTGATTATTTTAATTGATAGCTTCATTTTTAAAAATCTAGTCAAATGATCTCAGGGTTAAATTTGCACCATGGCCTCTAATTTCTAATTATCACTTCATATTTTCAGTGAGTCCCCTTGAGTCAGCTGTTTCAGGTCTCAGCTGTTGCACCACTCCTCATGTTCAGTCATGCTTTTCCTTTTTTTTTTTTGACCAAAACTACATCCAGTGTTCTCTCTTCTTCCAGGTCCTGCCTGACTTATACTTGGGGAATTTCAAAGGTGTGTGTCAGTGCATTTTATAGTCAGTTTTTTTTGGTATATGTTTACGTGTCTTTGATTGGTGCTGTCTGTTCATCACAGATGCAAGAGACAGAGAACAGTTAGCCAGAAACAACATCACACACATCTTGTCCATTCACGACAGCGCGGCGCCCATCCTCCAGGTGAGAAGCTCTCGATTTCTCCACCTTTTAGCATCTCAGCTCTCAACCGGATCATGAGAAGTGTGCATCTCAAGCTGCCCGTTAATATTTCAAGCAAATAAAACCGAGCGGACTGATTGGCTGAGGCTCTCCAGGTGTTTTGGTACATGGTGCAGCTCCGTCTGACACAGCCCATGGACCAGTCTGTCAGGTTGTTCAGGTGCGAGTGCTCGCCACTTGGGCTTCCTCTTGAGCAAACAGCTGTCATTCCTCGAGCGAGTCAACAAAAAAAAAAGGCAGGGGAGTTTCTCGCTCATGTGATTCTTGGCGTATCATGAAAAAATGCCAGTCAGAAGCAGTTGGTTTGGTCATTGTGCTGAGTTGTGTGCTTGCGTGGGTTTCAGAGTAGGCGGTTGTTCTTGTTTCAGCCTCTGTGGACTGTGCAGTCTCTTCATTATTGTTTTTTTTTTCTTTTTTTCCCCTGAATTATTGATTTGGATCTGAAGTTACTCTGACAGCTGGAAGCACAAAAGCGTCTTTGTTTCTCAGTTGTGTCATTGTAAAAGCAAAACAAAAAAAAACAATGACAAGGACGAGGAATGAGAACACAAACTGTCCTTAAACTGACTTTTTCTTCCTACTACATACGCTCGCAGAGCCCGTGTTTACAATCAGCGACGTACATTGTGAAACCTCAAGTGTGCTGATTTGTGGTGATGTTAATCCGCTGCGAGTGACTGCTGATAGGGAGGCTAACTAGTCTTCTTTGTCCACCAGGAGATGACCTATCTCTGCATTTCAGCAGCTGACCTGCCCACACAAAACCTGTAAGTACCAAAATGTGCAGCTCAGCAACACACAGAGCAGAACAATGAAAAGCTGAGGCAAAGAGAGAAAGTACCACACTCATTTCAGGCAGCACTGTGTGTGGGTGTCTGAGGTTCATTTTCTTCAAGCTAACGTGTAAATGATACGCTTTCACCAGCTCGATGTTTGACTGTGAACCTCGTCCACCACGGTAACACAGCTGGGTTTAGCTCTCGGCTGTTGCTTCGGCTCCAATCTATGACATGTTCAAGTGCGTGCAATTGTTGGTTTTTTTTCTAAGAAACTACAAAAGAAAAATGAAGGGGGTGGTGCTTGTATCGCGTTTGTCTCTGACCAAATTCACATTGCAAGCTGTCTATTAGCAGGACGGAAGTCTTGCAGTTCTTTTGTGCAGTTTTAACCTGATGGTTGGCACATATAGACCCACAAACACACATTTGGCCCATGCAATATACATACTCACACATATGCACACGTCAGCCTTACAGCCCCCCGTTTGTCACCTATCTCTCAGCCTGATGTGTGAAATATGACACCAGCTCTTTCAAATCTGACATGAACACACCCTGATCCTGATCTTTTCAGGATCAGCATGTCAAAAACATAGCACCTGTCATGTATGAGAAAAAAAACAAACCCCAAACCAAACTGCGCTGTTAGACGCCTCTCGGCGCTCGTGAAGACAAAATAACAACACAGCTTTTACTGCAGATCCTGCTGTGCTCTCACAGCGCTTTAATGTGGTCGTGACCTATTGTAACCAGGTTTTTCTTATTCCCCGCAGGACTCAGCACTTTAAAGAAAGTATAACGTTCATGCACGAGTCCCGGCTGAAAGGAGAAGGCTGCCTCGTTCACTGGTGAGAGCGAGATTGCTTTACCTGAGAGCTAGAATCCACTCACAGGGGCTCTGAAAACAACATGTGCTGCTGTAGGAAGTGAACTGTATAGATTCCCTCCATCTGTCTTACACAATCACAGACATATTGAAATGTACAGTTTATCTACAGCTGGGTTAGAAGAAAAACTAGGCTCACCGCACGCAGCGAGACATGTGAACTCATGTGTAACTGCTGCACAGAAGAGATTAAATGATAAAGGTTTATTCTTGAACTTCCCAAAACAGAGTACAGTAACGAGTCTGACCGCATTGTGCTAGTGCTGACCATGTGTTCACAGGGTAAGGTTATATTTGGTTGGAGAGAGGGTCTTCTCAGAAGTACAAGCAGCTATTTATAAGGTGTGCACTGACAAAGGCCTCTCTACTTAATCACTCTCAGACTGATTCCAAAGGCCAAAGTTCATTTAGACACGTATTGAATCCATTCTTACACCAGTTTCACCTCATTTATCTTATATTTTATTCTCAATTTGTCACCATCTGTAGTCTAGTTAGCCACATACTGCTGATATTACAAAAGAATGTGTATTATTTGGAGTATTTCAGTTGTTTAAAGCCTCTACTTTAAGTGTACTCTTTACGCATTGTTTTTTTGTGATGGGCTGTTCACGCAGAACACAGAGAACCTAGTTATTTATATCCCCGCTTAACAAACCTCTAATATTTTCCACTATGCCGGGTTTAGCTTCCCTCCTTTGATTTTCTTAACGACAATGAAATATATCCTGTTTGTTACCACCGTCGGAATGTCACTTTTCTTTTCAGCGTCCTCACGATTGTTTTACGGACAAACAGGTGTGTGACTTGAATCGGAGGCAATATGGCGTCTAGTGATTCTTAAAACTGGGATGAGGGCTTCGACATGGTGCAAAATATCAGTGGTCATAACGCAGACGGCCATCATTTCCACCAGCGGCTAAAAGTTTGCAGGAAAATGGTGACATTTTTTGCATCTTAGTTTCTCGTCTGTCCCTCTCTCCTTACAGTTTGGCAGGTGTGTCCCGAAGCGTCACCCTGGTGGTGGCCTACATCATGACGGTGACAGGACTGGGCTGGCAGGAGGCGCTGGCCGCCGTGAGGGTGGCTCGGCCCTGTGCCGGACCCAACCTGGGCTTCCAGCGGCAGCTCCAGGAATTCGAGACCACTCAAGCTGAAGAGGTGAGTCCTGAACATACAGAGCTGGAGCATTAAACAGTGTTTTGCATCATTACATTGACAACAACAAACCAAATGTTTGGTTTTTCTTCTCCCCCCGTAGTTCAGAGAATGGATAAGGATGGAGTATAAGGAAAACCCTTTCAATGACGAGGCTGATATACGTGACTTGCTTGCCAGGGCGTCCAACGTAAACGGCGAGGAGGTAGAAAAACATGCATCTACTCCACCTGGAGGTATCTGATCGGTGAGATCTTTCAGCCTGGATTACTGTGAGATGCTTGAAGTATTCTGGACATCTAACGTGCTTTGGAGTGGACTACTGTCAGGATGGACTTATCCTTAAAAATACAACGGACATGAATGTTTGAAGAGACTTTTATCATGTTCAGTAAATTTTTTTTTAGCAGTAATTGATGTTTCAGGTGCTTTTTTTTTTTTACTTATAAATGTTTTGAACTGTTTTTTTGTTTTTTCCCACCGTGTCTACATGATTTCATATCGTTATAATAAAAGGAGCAAAGTCTAAGCGTTTGCGGAGGTTGTCGGTCGGTGGGCTGCAGTACTGAAGCTGATAAGACAGACTTTGCGCTCTGTTTACAGCTCTTGTTTCCTGGTTCTCTTCCTGTTTGTCTAATGTGCAGGGGAGGTCATGCATGGTGGCATCAGAAACACAAAGATCACATTCTGAGATCAGGCTTTTTGCTCACTTGTCTTTCAGCGACCCCATAACTATAAAAAATAAACACTTTCACCAGAGATTCTACATAAAGTAGTTGTGTACACGCTGCCGATAGCTGTACACGACAGCCACTGGAGGGCAGTGTTACTAACAAAGTGCACTTTGAGAGTGTGGCAGTTTTTTTGATTATTCAAGCATGTGTTCTGATACTGGCTCCCTGTGCCTCGTCAGTATCCAGTCAAACCTTTCTCAAATAACAGCTTCTACATCTAAAGTTGTTGTAGATGTTTCCAGTCAGCCGTCTTGTCAGTGGAAATTAGCTCGAACTAACAGATTTATAGAGAAAAACAAAATATGTGGCGGGGCGGTGGGGGGGATATTTTTGTGATGGCACAGGTGATTGTTCCATTCCGTCCCGGTGTCTGCTCAGGGTGTCACTAGAGGGATTCCCCACCGCAGGGCTGTGTGGGCGCCGAGTTTCACAGAAATGAACACCCAACTGCTGTGCATCTCCTTCTTGAACCTCTCGCAGCCCGAGAGGCTCCTCCCTGCTACAAATCAAGTTGTGATAACATTTAAGAATAGGACCCCGAGAGCTTCAAAACAGATTTCGGCGGCGGACGTTGCACGTTCAGAGGTAAGCAGCAGCAGCAGCTCCCTTGAAGTGAGTGCCAATATGTTCATTGTGATAAAAAATAATTTGCTGTATCAAGTAGATCTCAGTCATCATCATCATTCTCAGTGTAACTTTAACTACTTTAATCATGAAATTGATAATCGTGTGCACAGTTTTATGATGCTCCAGCATGTGTTGTGTTTAAACTCTTCATTGCTTCATGTTCTGTTTTTACACATGCATGTATTCCTAAAATTAGTCACGTTTCTTTTCTCTGGCAGAAAACAAAATCAGACCACACGTGATGATGATAATTACTCATTTCTGCTGCTACCTTTACATCCTTACCCCGTAGACGAGTACAGGCAAAAGCTATTGCATGATTAAATGCATCAAAATGATTGCTAATATTGGAGTTAGGGCTGCAGAGGATGGAATGTGGTGCAAACAAGTGTCTTTGAAAAGCAGTTTTCACTACAAATTGCCATGATGATAACTATTTGGACCTGGCGTCTTCATCAGTAATGTTAACAAATATTATTCTTTGGTCCAATGAAAGGACTGACAGTGAAAACCTAAACAAGACTAGAACAGCTCCTTAATGTATTTGCAGCTCTGATATTTGTGTTATTTGATTTGACTTTATTTTCTTTTGCAGAGATGAACCTGGATGAGGACAGCGGCCTGTCAGTCAGCTGTGGCAACGGCAAGCTGAGGCAGTGGCTGATTGATCAGATCGACAGCAGGAGGTATCCCGGCCTGGTTTGGGAAAACGATGAGAAAACCATCTTCAGGATTCCATGGAAACACGCAGGAAAACAAGACTATAACAGGGAGGAGGATGCTGCCCTCTTCAAGGTCAGACCGTCCCGTCTCTCTCTCCTCACGCTGCACCCAACACATCCGACGAATGCAACTCAAACACTGCACAAAAACCAAAAAAAAACCCCAGCTGTAGATGTTTTTGCTGTTGCTGTTCACGCGTCAAAGCTCCATAGTTATGCATGACCGAAAAGCAAATGTAAATAAAATGCATTTGATGATTGTTTCAGGCGTGGGCATTGTTTAAGGGGAAATTTAAGGAAGGTGTGGACAAACCAGATCCCCCCACGTGGAAAACCAGACTACGCTGTGCCCTTAATAAAAGCAATGACTTTGATGAACTCGTAGAAAGGAGCCAACTGGACATCTCAGAGCCGTACAAAGTCTACCAAATCATTCCAGAGGGAGCCAAGAAAGGTAAGGAGCAAATTTTGTCCATGCAAAATGCAGAGGAGCTGAAAAGCACGACATTACAGAGACAAGTACACTCAGCTCCCCGTGTGAGAGAGGTGACAAAATGTAGAGTAAAATAATTAATGTTTGGATCTTAGTTACAAATTGTCATATATATAATATATACGATTCACCTGCGTAGTCAGAATACAGCTGCTGCGTTTCACACAGCAGCGTGCATTGTTTATAGTCTCTGGGTGATTTTTTCACATACATTTGCACCACTGCAGTTGATTCTGATGAGGCAGGAAGCACAAAGGAAGCCAAAGCATGTACCAAAAAGGCCGTAGTGCTTTTTTTAGAGGGCTTCGGTTACTAAGCGCAGGGTGCACATATCACAACCAGACGACCTCCAGCCTTGCATAACTAAGTCTCCGACATCGTATGTACAACTGTTTTTGTCACACCAGAGCAGTTCTTGCTATCTGGGCTGACACTTAATTCTCAGAATGAACAGGATTCAGATTAACTCAGTCATCTGTTAAACTTTTTGCAAATTTCCCTGCCACTCGAACAAAAATAACCTCACGAGTGCACAGAACATGCTCACGGTTTTAGCTGAAATGCAGTCGTGTTTGCAGAATATTGCACATCAGATATCAGTTTAATGTTAATCTCTAAAATATAACTATGGTTTATTCTTATTTATGTCCTTTTTTTTGGGTAATGCTTTAATGGAAAGCGGTGTGGGCAAATGATCTGACACATTTCTGCTTTTTTATTTCATTTTTTTTTTTTTTTTACATTTATAGGAATGAAGATGAGCAGCATGGAGGAGATGCCGTCACACGCAAATGCTCTCGGCTACATTCCTCCATATCCATCCCTGCACAACCAGGTCAGCCCCATTCTGCTGCTGCTGCTGCATCCTATAAACTGGACCCAACTGATAAATCAGTAAAAAACAAAACTTCTCAGTGTATTGACATTGTCCCCTGTGCTCCCTTCCAGGTTCCCGCCTTCATGGTTTCTCAGGAAAGAAGGGACTGGAGGGATTATCACGCGCCGCCAGAACAGCAGCCTCTTCCTAACACACATCACCACGGGCCGCATGCGGAGCTGCCGTATGGCCAGTGCCACTACCCGTCGCCCATCAGTCGACCTTGGCCCGGGTCACACACAGAAAACGGTAGTTACACTTCATTCATTCAGAACGGGCCAAACCATAAAACCATGTCTGCTTTATATGTACTGTGCTTTCATATATGGATGTAAGGATTGTTTGATTTTCATAAATATCAACAAAGAGATGTCTGCGCTATCCTCAAGTCAAGGGACAGGACATAAAGAGCATTTAGAAATATGTTAGTTCTTTATGTGACACTGCGATCCAATTAGAAACTGAGGCTTTAATGTCAGTCATCCTGTAGGTTGTTATTAAATTCAATATGTCAACAGTTATCATCATCTACCTTCAGCTGACAGTCTTTGAGATCAGATAAATTATGAATCGATTTGTTACGCTCAGAGCTTAAAATTTAAACTAAATGAATGAATACTAATAAGTTATGAGTAGTTGCACATCTGATGCATGTAAAATATTAATTTGATCTCCGCATGCACAAAGAAAAACTTACGCACAGCGCCACACAAACGGCGTGTTGGACAAGAGGTCACACATTCTTCAGACTTGTTTTTGTTCCAGATTAGAGTTTTTTTTTTCTTCTAAAAAGGGAAAAGAAAAAACTTCCTCATCCCTGCAAAGAAGTGGCACGGTGCCCTTTCACATTTCCCTACTTTCACATTCAGTACTCTAATTTTGGCATTTATTTCTTTATTTTGTTCTCTGCAGGTTTTCAGCTCTCCTTCCACACCTACTTTTCGGAATCTCAGTCGCCCGTGTACGCGATGGACCACAACAACGCCGTAACAGGTAACGAGTTCGACAGACACACACACAGTCTGACATGAGCTTGTTGTTCAATGTTTATTATTTTGAGCGTATTTGCATTTGCAGATAAGAAACTATAAACATCTCCAACAACACGTACTTACTTCCCTGTTCTGAAACTCACAACGGCAGGCCATGATAGATTTTTTTTTTTTATTCCTCACAAGATTAAAAAGCAGAATTAAAAAGACGTGTGCAATAATTAGAGAAAAACGAGTGTGCACGCCGAGCATGTTTCAGCTTTGCAGGGCCTCAAGCTGCGAGACTCCAGTCATGCTGCTGTTGAGTGATCTGCTAAATGCTTTTCTCTCTTTATTCCAGATTTCAGCCTGCACGTGTCCCTTTTCTACCGAGAGTCTCTGGTGAAGGAGGTCACCACCACCAGCCCAGAAGGTTGCCGGATCACCTCTTCGTCCTCGTCCTCTCCGTCCTCTTCCTCCTCCTCCTCTTCCCCGTGCCCGGAGGACAAGTTTCACAGCGGGGCGGAAATCATCCTTTTTCCATTCCCGTACCCCGAGTCTCAGAGGCAGGGCGCTGACATGCTTCCTAACGTCCTGGAGAGGGGGGTGCTGCTGTGGATGGCGCCTGATGGGCTGTACGCCAAGCGCCTGTGCCAGGGACGAGTGTACTGGGAAGGACCTCTGGCTCCGTATACGGATAAACCCAACAAGCTGGAGAAGGAGCAGCCGTGCAAACTGTTCGACACCCAGCAGTTCCTTATTGGTAAGAACCGATATGCTGCTTGCACCTACAGAAACACCTGAACAGTAGGACACATCCATCCATCCATTATCCATTATCACTAGGGTCATGGGGGGCTGGAGTCTATCCCAGCCGACTCGGGGTGAAGGCACACTCACATTCACACTCACATTCACACCAATTTAGAATCACCAGTTACCCTCAGCGTGTCTTTAGATCATTGCTGGAGGCCGGAGAACCCGGTGAGAACCCACACTGCACAAGGAGAACATGCCATCTCTGCACAGAAACATCCCAGGTCGGGAACTGAACCTCTTCCCCACCGTGCCGCCCAGCAAGAAAACGAAACACAATCCAGCTAATGTTCCTGCATTGGACGTGTTACCTTTACGTTCAATTTGTGGAAGGACTGTTCGAATTCTTCATTTAAATCAACTCAGTTCGTAGTTATTTGGCCCAAAATCATAGATCGCTTTCTTTAAAGAGTTTTAAAGTTCTTCGTAGACGTCACCCTCCAACCCTAGAATAATACCTTAATAATAAACAGAGAGACACCCTGGTCAGGGGCAACTATAATATAAAACCCACCTCATTGCAAGTATAAATAACACTGTGTTTTCACTCATTTTTAATTTTTAACAAATATTTAATCAGCACAGATCTACAGTGCTTAACACATGTATTCGACCACCACCCAGTGTACGGTTTATCAATCATTTCTTATATTTCTGTAAAGGTTAATTCACCAGTATGTAGAAGCTCTTTAGCCGAAATCATATCTTTAATGCTAAAATGTGATTATTATTGTTATCCATCCATTTTCAAATGTACTGTTTTACGAACAAACCAGAAAAAACTAATAAAGCACATTATTATTTCTTGATTAAAATGTCAAATTATAGTTATGTACTTGCATTCCTGAACAGAAACATGAGTTTTTGTGGTTGAATGTGAGGCCCAGTGGCTCAGATTTGGGTATAAAAAGGTGAATTCAGTTTGAAATTCCTTGTTCCTGTTCAAAACGGTAAAACATGGAGAGCTGAGCGGCGTTAAAGCACTTCATGATGGTCTATACGTACAGTGCTTAACAAATTCAACAGGTGGACATAAATATGTTTAACCTGCATATTGGTGCTGTGTTGTGAACCGCTTGAAAATCTACAACCGTCGACTTACACCAGATAAACAGCTTGCTGGGTGGAGCCCATTTGAGCAACTTTATCTACAGCCTGGTACTTTGATCTACAGCGAGGCATCAGTTTGAATCTGCAGAGGATCTAGTGACTAAAGCTGTCAGAAAAATGCAGCATTTTCCCCTGAGGTTTTGTGAAATAAAAAATATAGCAAATTTATAGCAATTGCATTATTTGCTAAATGCACATGTTGGCCACTGGTTGTAAATTGTTAGGTTGAGGTGTAATTGTTGTGTTACAGTGGAAGGATTCACAGTTTCACATGGAGGGTCTTTGATTCCTTTTTGACTAAAATGCAAACTGTAGTGTAGGATCCACGACCAGACGACTGCACACTGTCATTCTGCTCAGACCTCCATCCTCCACAACTCGCTGTTTAAGGCAACAGCTTTGACTCTTCAAGCACAACTACGAATGTACTGATAAACACGCTGCCACAGCTATTTACAGTACGGTGTCGGCTGTTTTCACATTGATAATGGTCGCGATGATGGAGGTGATAACGACGAAGGAGAGGCTTGCAGGCCTTCAGCTCGGTAAGTCCCTGTCGGCGTTCAAGCAGCGTCTTCTCAGCAGGGGGGGCCGAGTGTGTGGAGTCCCCACCCACCTTCTGTGGTCCACCACACCGCCAGACAAGCCAGGGTTTTCTGTGCCATTTCACAATAAACTTCCACCATCTTCTCATCAATAAATTCTAGAAAAGTCATCGTGATTAGGGAAAATGTCATGTGAGTAAGCTGTGGTCTTAATGGGTTTTCTAATCTGTGTGTGTTTTGCTTCACTGAAAGTTCGAACTGTGATGGTGTGAACGTTTGATGAGCTGCACATGATGGGTCTAATGTACAAAACACCTCATTTCTCACTGTATCCTCTTCCTTGTCCTCTCAGAGCTCCAAGATTTCGCCCATAACGGTCGTCATGTGCCGAGACACCAGGTGGTGCTGTGCTTTGGCGACGAGTATCCCGATCCACAGCGCCCGAGGAAGATGATCACAGCACAGGTACCCAAACACCGCAAAAGTCGTTCTTTCTTTTCAAGCAAATCAACCATTAAAATTTAAGATGGTGAAAATATAATTGCAATTATTTGTCACTATACAGCTACTACATATGCATCATGGATTATGCATAATGTCAGAAAACAACGACCTCAGCATTGTTCTTATAATTAATTTAATTCTTATAATTAATTTACTAAACGTTTGAACAAAACTGAGCTCAGATTTTAACAACTTCCTGAAATCTGTTTTTACTGTAGGCCGTAAACAAAACATATGATTGCATGAGATTTTTGCAAAGACCTTAAAATAAATTAAAAAATAGAAAGATTAACCCGAACTACAACCCGAACTAAACATAGCTAAACCACAGCAACTGTAGCTAAAGCAATGCTAACTATAGCGAGATACAGCTAACTTTAGCTAAAACTAAAGCTAAATTTTATTATCCTTTTCTGTCTTTTATCTGTAATTGGAAAACATTCTTTGTTATTTGTTAATTATTTCGTAAATGAAGGAGGGTTTTTTTTTGGAGGAATAAGAAAAGAACTTAACTCTTGATACAGCTAGCATAGCTGCTAGCTCTCAGTAACTGAATTCACATGATTTAGCTGCCATTGAATTTAATAAAATAAAAATGAGTTTGTAAATTAGTAAAAGTCCTAAAGGTAGGCCTTTAGCTGGACAGAGAAACATTTATTTTACATTTATGTTCAATTATTTATATATAAAGGAATATCAAAACAGACAGAGCTGCGTTATTTGCATATTTTAATATCATTTAGGTCTCCTCGCAACGCTTCTTTGGGAAAAATAATCATCCTGAAAAGCCATAAAATGAAGAAATCTTTGTTTTGCAGTTTTCCCGCCAACCTAAACAACCTTTTTTTTTTTAACCTGCTTGTTGAGGTCACGTTCTCTGCACAGCAGGATAAAGTGCTGTTAACGTGCGTATTTCACACACAGACATAATTTCATTTTAGGTGGAGCCAGTGTTTGCCAGGAAACTGGTGTACTATTACCAGCAGAACAATGGTCACTACCTGCGGGCCTACGATCACATCCAGGAACAGAACGCCTCCCCAACAGTTGACTACCCGTCCCAGAGACCTCTACAGCATATTCAGGAGTGACGATGCACGCAGGAGGGCACGCATGTGAATTTAAAGCTCTGACCTTTTAGCATGCCTTGTGACTGCGGTCCCACGTACTGTACGGTAGAAACTGTCATGGTAGCTGCCGAGGGGTGGATATGGGGAAGACCCTGTCATATTCACTTGCACACCTATGCGTCGTAAGCTTTGTGTCGGGGACTGTGAAGTTTTTTTTTGTTTTGTTTTGTTTTGTTTTTTTTTCTCTACAAATATTATTGTGAGAGTGTGAAGGATGCGGTTTGAGGGTGGAGGGGGGGATGAAGGGAGCGGAGGGCAGCAGAGACAGGAAGTACTAGCACAGGTGCACAGGAAGAATGGCCCCTTAGACAAAACACAGACACGTCGAAGGGACAAAACAGCATGAATGACTACTTATTCTTTACAGGTAACAGTTGACTATGTGATTCTTGCACTCACACATTCAGACGGTGCTGAAGACAATCATCTCTTCTCAGCTTGTTCTGTGGTTGAAAACCTTTTTTGTTTTTTTTTACACCTAAACCAAAAACCTTTGCTCAGAAGAGCAAGTGAGCAACGTCGGTGGTTAGTCCACTGTCGTTCTAAATTCAGGGTTGCATTGCAATTTAAAAAAAAAAAGAAGCTACAACTAAAATGTGAATGCAGAAGTCAGCATGCTGCAGAATGCACGCACAAGAATCAGTCTACTGACTCTGATCAGCTTTGAAAATGATCAGATTCCTTTAAATTATATCAAAGTGATGAATCAAAATCTGAAAAGGTGGCAAGTTCTCATAAATAATTTTGCTTGCTAAGACTGAATCCCTTATGTCCACTTCACATACGAGGCATTTCACTGCCCTGTAGCCTCTTACTTTTCCGATCTGACTATAAATCTAGAATTTTATTGGGAAAGTCAAGTCATTTGTTTGGGCTTAGTCATGCACTCCATTAATGTTTTATTTTTTTTTTGCATTACAAATCAATCTCATATCTCTTAACATTCATGTTTTCCCTCTAAAGCCAGTGTTAAGCCGTGGTTATACTCCATTGTGGATCCTCATACAGACATCTGTGGACACTGATGGACGCATAGTCGTTGCAAGAAGCCGCGCAATGCGTTCTGGTCACGTCACGATGCATTTTGAGAGACTGGATGTCTTGTCGCCTGCTTCTCGTTTGCATACAGTTGAGGTCTCGGTTACTTTTTTGCAAATCGGGGGCATTGAACCGCCTCGTGGCGCCTTTGGAATCTCCTGAAGAACTTTAAGATAACTGTTATTGACTTATTTCTCATCTCACAAGTTATCAGAAACCCATTTTGGCTGATTGTCTTTATAATATAAGAGAAAGCTTCAAACAAGCCACCGTGTTGGTCTGGTGAATGAAGCCTTCGTCCAATCAGGTGCAGTCCGTGTTTGTGAGGTTAGTAGGAGGGTATAGCCTGCATTGGTTTCCTGTTGTTGTTACCCATTGTTTCACCTGTCAACTATTGCTAGGAAAGGGCAAACGCTCTCTTGTGTTTGAAAATGCCCTTCCTCTTGGGCCATAGATACAAACTTTAGGCTGCACACAGACGTCCATAGAAGGTTCTTGGGGGCATGATAAAATTTACAACACCTGGAGCTTTGTGCGCTGGTGGCATCTGTGATTGTCCTCGAGACTAGAGTTGGCATGATGGAAAGTTTGTCTGCAAGAATCCAGTCCACATTAACCCCTTCCATGGACATCAGGTGAAACTCAAAATTGATAAGAACTACACTACAAGGACAGTAGTGCATACAGAGTCCATGGAGTCTTCCAGTTGGATTGGAAAGTAGTAGAATAAGAACAACTGTGCATATGTGGCGTCTGCAACTGTCTATGTGCTCGTCCGCAAGCAAATACAATCAAGGTTTAAGGGGTCACCTAACATAGAAAAACCTATTTTTACTTGCTAATGTCATGTCGTTTCATTGGCCTTCATACTGGATAGTTTTTGTTCTTCAGGTCTTTAAAAACCGGCTTTAAATCTTGTGATTATCGCTAAAAAAAACCACTTTGCTCACAACCAAAAACAAAAAAAACGCGTGGGACCATTGGTGTAGAACACATTATCAGAGAGCAACTTTTGGTTCAGGTCCTGTGTGACTGACTGTGATGACCTTACTAGAATCAAGAAGGTTGACTGGAAAATCACACTCATCCCGCAACTTGCAGGGAAACCGTACCTGTTCCTCTTGACCTGAAACTCGTTGCCTCACATTTGGGAAGGAAAACTACCTTTGTGGTCTGTGTGCAGGTTCTGCAAGGGAGGAGTTCTCAGGTTCCCATGTCTCAGATACTGTAGGAGGCTCACACAGTGGATGCAATGTCCACTTAAAGCAGCGCCACGAGTCCCACACAATGAAGTGGATTCTGCTCGCTTTACAGACACGGAAAGCCAAAATGAGTACGTTGGAATTTCTCATGCTGTTGAAGTCCTAAAGGTTAATGTAAAGTAGGAGGGATAAAGGTTTTGTTATATTTTTCTTCTGTGGTCCAGAGTTTCGATCTCTGCATTTTACTTCCTTCACACTTAAACCACATCACTTTCACAATGGCTTCAAAAAGTCTGACCAAAATCACAGGCGGGAATGTTTTTCTTTTTTTTCTTGAACCATAAATCCTCTTTCCCCTCAAACGTGTAGTCAGCCCCCTGATTCTCTGCAGAGTGAAAATTTTGTTTCACATTGCTTCACAGTCAGACATTTGACTCATTCGTCATCCATCACTTTAATGTACAACTTGCCGGCGTGTCGAACGCTGCGTATGTGTGAGTGTGTGCGCAGAAAAAAAAAAAACGACCACATGTGTGCATGCGTGTGGGCGGACGCATGTGTGTCACACAGTCATGGTGTTACTGTTATTAGGAATTGACATTTATGGACTCAGGATAAAACATGTGACTCCCCCACCCACGACATCAGTGACTCAAACACAGACACACACACACACACACACACACCAATTTCACATCACAGTTTACAGTTACAGTAAAACATTCAGCAAACTACTGTACAGAGGAAACTAAATTTCTAATACACACAGTTTTTTTTTTTTTTTCAGAAACGATTACAAGCACCAGACATAAATGTGATTTTTAATATAAAACTGCTGTTGGAGCAGATCGACTTTGAAATAAACTCCTCATCTGAAACTACTTATGTGTACTGTGCTCGTTTCATCTCTATGCTCCCCACATTTGCAAACAAAGGGAGGAAGAATGAGAGAGTCATATTTGGTTAGAAAAAAAAAAAAATACTGAACAAAAAAAAAGAAGAAAAGAAAAACACATTCACACATTTGCCATGGTGTTTCCCCCTCTGCAGGAAGCCACATCATTTGTAGTCAGGCTTCAGTTTTTCCGCCTGTATGAGCCGTTACTCCATCGCCCGTGCCTCTTTCACTCGAAGCTCCGGAGAGGACGGTTTAGTCAGCTAATGCCCCAAAACATTTTCAAGAAGGGCTTTATGGAGAAAATGAAACCGCTATCATCAGCATATCAGGGGCGACACTTTCCCCCAAAAGAAGGCGATTGGTTACATCTTGACTCAGGGGCTGTGGTGAATTTAACTGATTGGGCTGGATAGTGAGACATAAGTGTTGCTCTTTATGTCAATCACTGCATTTGTTGTGAAACTCTCTCTGACACTGTGCTGCCTCTCACACGTGGGTCTTCTTATTTTTGAGAAGCTAAACTGCGTCTACACTGATCGCACTGACTGTAAAACGGCATCTTGTTCTGTGTTTACACTTGAAATCCTCAGATTTTTCTAACGACATGTTCAGAATGTAAACCCTGGCGATTTGTTTGTCTGTTTTTCTACATGTCAAAAAGTGCATCGAGGCTCTCGGGAAAAGAAAAACTAGAGAGCAAAACTCTGCTGACATCTGCTGGATGGTGTAGCTTCAGCTTAAAGAACTCCCACAAGATTAAAATCAGCATTTTTTTTTCTGATAAGCATGTTGTTATCTAAGCACCTGACAAATCGTAGGATATTAGCCAGACGGAGCTGCCAGAGGGTGTCAAGAGAGTCAAAGGGTGAGCAGTAAAGACTGACCTGACAACAGGGAAAAGGTTTTTCTTCGCTGGACTCGGAGTCGCTGACCTCTGTATGTTTGGGGTCAGACCCATGCCCGCTATTTGATGACAGTCTCGTTTAACCCTCGTTGAACTTTGGTTAGGAAGATGTTGACCTCATGCTCCCTTTTTATGAATCCTGACCCCTTAAACCTGAGAATCCACGAGTCGTCACTCACTTAATCACCGCCGATGTTGTGCGCTCATAAGTAGGTCAGCAAAGGGAGCGAATGCACCGGTAAACCGTCGACAGATAATTATTTCATCACCTTTCCGATAGCAGGACATTAATAGCCGACTAAGGTATGTCCACTCGCTGGGATTTATGTAATCCATTTATCACTGATTTATTATTATTACCCATCACCGGAGTTACACTGCCTCTCTTCATACGACCCACAGTAGGAGGAATTTCTCCTATCACCAAGAAATAAACTCTTTATCGACGCAGTTAATCGGTTCGAATTGTTCTCACATGTCTCCGTTTATCTGAGTGTCCTCAGACAACAATGCAATTGACCCAATACATTACGATGACAGGAAAGCAATAACAGTTGTCGGATAAGGGGCAGCGAGGTCATGGAAAAAAACAATCGTCAGATGACTTCGGACGTGAGCATAAACAGATAAGGCTTTGATAAGCGGAACAATACGGTGGCCTACCTGGCACTGATGCGAGGCTGGCGCTGTCTATTTGGTTTGGCTGGCAGCTGACAGGAGCTTTGGACGAGGTCACGCTGTCGTGTCATTATATTGGATTTTTTTAAAAATTACAGTAAATCTCCAGAAATGCAGAAAAATCACAGATGATTTTCAGGACTGATCAACAGATAGTTGGGAAAGAGGTGCAGTAAAATAAGTGACCAGCAGGGAGTGATGTATCATCGGCTGCCTGCTGTCTGTGAACAGCTGGAGACGGCTGAATTACGAGCCATGCTGACCACACATTAGGACTTTTGGACTGCAGTAATCAGTGCATCTGCAGGCTCTTTGATTCCTTCTAATGGCTCAATGATTGCACTGATACACCTGCTATAAAACAACTCATGGACACAAGTGCACACATTTTATTTTATTTTTTTAAATCCCTCAATTTGCATTCATTAACATTTCCAAAAGCGACACTCTTTCTGTCCTCCTACAACAGAAATGCTTTGTTTGGTGCGTCAAGCGACACGAGCAGCGCCGGCGCTGACAGAGGCCGAGGTGGTCGGAGTGACAGCTCGTGGGCCTTATTGCGTGAGAGTGAGTCGGGTTGTTCTCAGACTCTGTGTGGTCTGGGTGTGTGGTCTCCAGCTGACGGGCAGGGAGGAGGCCGGGAGAGCCCTGTGAGTGTGTGTGTGTGTGTGTGTGTGTGCGTGCATGTGTGTTTACTCTATCCAGAGTCAGGTCCAGGTCTCTCCGTAGCAGCGGCCCGACTAGAAAGCCGTGCCTTCCGCCGCTCAGCAGACCTGGCCTGAAAGATAAACACATGCCGCCACCACTCTGACACGGCTCATCTGAGGATAATTCTTGTATACTTCAGGAACCTGAGAGACCTTTAGGTTAGACGGTGAGAGGCGTGTGTGTAATTTACGAAACTATAGAGCTGCTTTTTTATTTCGTTCCTGGACGTTTTGCACTAAATTTGAATTGATTGAACCCCAGAATCTTCTCATATTTATGTTTATACTGTACAAGCAAGCACATAAGGTTTCCTGACATGAGGATCTAAATAGTGCAATTTAAAACCAATAAGTTCAAGTTTTTTTTTTTGTTCCCTTTTTCTTAATCTTAAACCAAATTCAACACTTGACTTTTATTTCCCTTTTGATTCAATCTGCAGATGGATCTAAGTAAAATAATACAGGAGGCAAAGCTAAGACAGGTTTTTCCCTCTTTAGATCTTTAAGTGCAGATTCGTATGAGGAAAATTAGACCTCGTACAACCTTTATCACTCTTCCCTCTTGCGCACACAGAGCTACTCCACGGCTCTCCTCTCCCACAGCGATCTCAGGGGAAGGCTTTGTAATGCGGCACTGCTGAGAACGCGCCATGAAAATATAAATACAACCTCGCCGCATTTCAACCATGTAAATAAACAAGGCCACCCAAATTTCCAATTAGAGCTTGCGTCGAAGGCAGGAAATGGGGTAGACAAGAGGAGACCACACCTCCTTCTCGATCCTCCGCTCCTGAGAGGAGTCCAGGTCCGGGTCCGGGTCAGAGACACTGGGACGGTGGCAGCACTGACACAGCAGGAAAGCCGGCATTCAGGACTCCACTTAAGGCTGTTTTTGCGTAGGCCCCTCCAGCTCCATCATGCTCCTCCTCTTGTTATCGCTCGAGGATAGGACTCACACAGATATGGGCATGGAGCAAGTACACCAGATTTGATGCTTACGCCTATAAAAGTCGCCATAATCTCGGTAATGCAGAAGATTTTTCGGTTCACATGTCTCCACCTCGCAAACATTTCACGCGCTTCACTTTGAGACACCAAGCTTTACGCCGGCTCGCCTTATCAGTCCCATCGAGGTTATGAGGTGATTCCTATCTGGCTGAAATGAGGCATTCTCACTGTATTCCACATCTTCTTGGAACAGCTAGGCACCGTTATTACGCCGCTAAGCCCCGAGACCACCCAGGAGACGAGGTCCGGTTGTGAGAGGCGGACGCAGGGTCCTTATTGTGATAAGAAAATGGAGCCTTCTTCTAGAAGAGGTGGTGCTTTGATAGTGTAAGAGGCTCGCCTGATAACTGCCGATCGAAGTCTGATCCTGGCTTGCCTGGTAAGGTCGGGTCCCTGCTGTGGTCAGTCGGCAAACGTCACGGGGCCTGTTAGTGAACGTAAACACACGACTTAATGTGATTACCCCAGAGAGCTGCGTCAGTGAAGCCACTTTCGCTCCGGGACATTATAATATCAACTATACTGAAAAGGGCAGAGCTCATTTTGATCGAGTTTAAGAAAATAATTCATCCTCTCTTGCATTTACGTGGAGCACTTTGCCAACGTCGCCACCGTGTCATACCGAGCTGTCCTTGGATGGCATCAACACAGATACCCCCAAAAAACTGTGCCTTCGGAGCAAATCCCCTCCTGTCCGTCATCCATTGTTCGGTGTTTATGTTTGATTGGTCTCTGACTGCAGCGTCTCTTCCCTCACAGGCTCCCAAAAAGCCACACAGGAAACAGACAGTATAAACACAGGGCTCAGCAGATCCTCTCTTGCCTCGACTCCGAGCTCCAGAACCCCAATGTAAACACACAGAGACACCGGCTAGTCATTTCGCATGTAAAACTATGCGCCATCACTCAAATAGAAATTTCGGCCAACGTCTCGTGAGAATAGCGGATTCGGGAATATTTTCTGGAGACGGAGTTGTCCTCTTTTCTGCAGATATGATGCATTTAATCAGCGTGTGATGCCTTGTTATGTAGCTCTCATGTTCTGTGAGTTAGAACAAGTGTGCATGGCTGCTTTTAGCTAATCATTAGCATGCTAACATCGTATTCATCATCTAATGGGTGTAACCATGTTAACCACAGATTATCAGTTCTAAAAAAAACAGAAAAAACTAATTGGAATGTCATCATTTTTTAGCTAGAAACGGTGAAGGGAATCACAAAATAATAAAAAAAATAGTGCTCAGAACAGTCAGGTGGTGGCTCAGTTAAAGTCAGGAGGGTTATAAAGTTCACTGAGATTCATCGTCTTTGAAGAATGAACCAAATTTATCATAATCTATCCTTAGGTGTTGTAATATTTTAGAGAAACGCTGAAAGCACAGGCCTGCTGGAGCTTCTAGAGGAAAGGTTACGGGACAACCACAGCCAATTAAATCAATCCTCTGGGGATCATAAACGTCTGAGAACGCTTTAAATAGTTGTTGAGATATTTCAGCCCGGTGTGAAGTGGTGAAGCGACAGACGTTTTTCACTCCGGCCACCAGGCCAGAGCAGCTAAAATAAATAAAATGGGTGTTAGATATTAGTCGTGGAAATAATTAGGAATTCAACTGTGAATTCTGCAGATTTATGGGTCATGAACAAACTCTGACATAGACAGTCCATCGGGTCTTTGGCTCTGGTTCG